TTTTAAAGTTTATATCAACGTTTGTATTCAGATAGATGATAGGTTCAAATCATGAGGCGTCGTACAGCTGTTTTATTCTAGCATGGATCTACGTTTACGCAACCCATGATTCCCAAGTTTATTAAGTCATCACACTAGCACGTGGACATTCAATAGCTCACCGGTTTTCACATTCGCTTGATATCTAGAGGTCGTATAATAAACTCCGATATAAGGTTTATGGATTTATAATCTTGAATAGTTCATCAGTTGAAAAATATCTTCCTACCCGATTTTCTATATTTTGCAATAGTGATAGCGTTTGTGACATAATTTCTTTAGTTGCACAACGATTGTTTAAAAGAATGCCGTAACTCATTTTGCAGTGAAAATAATAAATATACCTTCTTTCAAACTAACAACTGTTCTATCAAAGGTAACACCTCAGTCAGAGTACCTAATAGTAGAAATTCTCATATCTGTCCAAAAGGTACTCTAGTGCTGATTTAGTGCATGATAAAAGAAAACAACCATAAACGCTTATGAATGGATTATACTGAAACAGAATTGGTAAATAAACTTACATACTTACTTAAGCGTGTTACTTCTCTTCATAGTACATAGACCGCCCACCAGCATTCTCAATCCAAATCTGGCCTGGTCAATCATTTCCAGTTGGTTCCTGTTATGATTTCTCATTTTGATGTCTGTTTTTATTTCTGGATGTAATATGTCAGTTGGTCATCCCATATTCCATTTCCCTTCAAGATTTCAAGTTTGTTCTTGCTTCCTGATGCCGTTTGATGATATCCTCAACGTTTTTCCACCTCCACCTCTTTACTCAGAAGCTGGTTTGTTCTGTCCGACAGTTACTTTGTGCTAAATGTACCCAGCAAATTGATAATGAGTACCATGAGTAGAAAATTGTCTAGCAATGCATGTACGTTTTCGATGAATGTAGTAGTTCTTCACGTTTCACCTCCACATAGTGTAGTTGTTTGACGTTCTTGATGAAGATTCTGACCTTGTGTTTTTACAGTTGCATATGTCCTTTAACTGTGGAAATGCTTCCCTTGCCTTGCCAATCCTTGCTTTTAAGTTTGAGTCAGATTACTCTTGTTCATCGAGGATGGAGTCCAGAAACGTGAAGGTTTTTACCTTTTCCCAAGCTTCTTCATCGATTGTGATTAGATTAGTGTTCTTAATGTTGTATTCGAGTGTGTGTGTTCAGAAGCCTACTGAATTATAGACTTCAGCTACTCTGATTGTTTTAACCTGAATTTGTTCTTTTGTGTGGAATAGAAGACTTAGGTCACGGTGGGAGTAAAAATCGACTAGTTGCACTCAGGTTGTCCGTTGTAACCTGTGCTTCTCCTTGGATGTGTATCTTGGTCTTCTAGAAAGTAAAGAAAACCTCCTAAACATAGTGGCAGGATAGTTAGTCGTATAATAAGAAGCGTGACATGTGACTTTTCTGTTTCTGGATGTTTCTGAGGAACGTCTATCGAATGCTGATTGAATGTTTTTTTCCGGCATTTCAAGGGATCCATGCAGCTGTTATTGAGGACATTTTTGGGTATTCTCAACAAAGAATACGCAGGCTTGTCTGATTATGGTTCTTACTATGAATCCGTCTGTCAGCTGTCTTCTATGCACGAATCTGCAGTGTAGATCATCTTATGAATGCCGAATAATGTTCACGATTTTCCCAGGTACACCAGTGTTGAGGAAATTTCCACGAAGTCCTCCTATCCACACTGTCAAATGCTTTCTCATAGTCCAGGTACTTGGTGTAAAGTGATGAATTCCATTCAGTTGATTGTTCAACAATGATCTATTATGATGCGATTTGGTCTTTTCAGCACATATCCCTGGAAAAATCGAACTGATGTCCAAGTTGAGCGTCTAATGAATCTTTCATTTAGTTCAGTAACACTCCGTTGAGAACGTCTCCGATACAGACAGTAGGTTGATGCTCTTTTTGTTCTCACACTTGCTCAAGTCTCCTTTTTCGGTATCTGGATGAGGTATTCTTCATTCCAGTCTGTCGTGACTTGTATTTCCTTACAAATCGCTCAGAATAGAACGTAGAGCAGTTTTGCAGTTACTCTTATGTCTGAATTTAGTGTTTTGACTGTTATATTTTCAGGTCCTGATGCATCCCGGCTGCTGATTGAAGTGATAGTTGTACTTATTTCCCTCATCGTCCGGGAAGTTAAAGCTATAGGGTGGCCTGTACGTGCTGTTTCAATAAAGCTGATTTATCTATGAGTTCCTCAAAGTGTTCCGCCCATTTGTTCCCTTGACCTTGAATTTCAGTGGTTACCTTAACCCCTTTGTTAATGAGCAAACATTTATTGATCAATGTATACACCGTATTATTCTTTACAGACCATACATATAGTAGGAATGCTGTTTACTATCAAGGTGATTTTTTCATTATGGCAGTTGAAGATATGTTATAATGGATTTTTATGTTCCTTGAAGATCACAGAAATTTACTCATCGCGAAGGTTGATAATAATTTCAAAGTTCATCTAATGATATTCAGTTACAATAAAATCATGTTGTTATGTCATAAGAATTCATCGACTCACTATTTCATAATGTCTCCTCAAAAAATTCTGTCTTATAACAGTGAGGTTGGTTGACAGCATGAGACATCAATTTTAAATAGACCGGATGTACGCCTTGCTAATAAACACCAAGTTGCACGAAACCTGATTTCAATTTACCTCCAACATCTAGTATCTAAACATAGTCTGCGTGATATCTTTTCACGTAAACTAGTAACCACAGTGTACTATCTTTGATAGAAATCCTTTGGGACTAAGAAAGACTTAGCGTACATGACATCGCTGACCACTGAACTATTGGAAATATCTCCAATTTTTTCACAATTGTCAAAGATAAAATAATTTTGTTTACTTCACTGTCACATTTAAATATCCTTCATTGTAAATAGCACATCAAAAAAGCCTGGCAGAGAAAATTTATATTTCATCTAGTTTATTCGGATTACTATTGTTATTGGCTGCACTTATTCTCTTCATTTTATCAACATTAACGCTGTATAAGAAAAAGTCTATATTACTAGTGACTGTAACAATATCTACTGTATTATCAGGTAAGCAATTAACTATACGCATGCCACATATCATTTGAAATATTTTGTTGCAAAAAAGAAAAATTGTAAAGTCTTTTTATTGCAATTATGATAAGCAAGTAATTTAATTCGGTTATTTATTTGTTCATTACTTATATACTAATAATCCAGACTGCTTCCAACTGACTTATGCTTGCATATATCGTGTGCCAATTTCAGTGGTGGTTAAACTTACAAGAATGTCCGAACCTCTCCATCTGATAAAGACGTACTTTCTCATAAGTCCATTTATGACTTAATTGTTTGACAAGTAGTCGCAGGACTTCACAACAACTCTCTGCTGTTCAGTTGTTCGACAGTTGACTTTAGTTCCCTAAAATACCAATCCCCCCGAAAAAAAATTGAACTGTGTTTTCTAAAAATATTTTAAGCCTTACATTCTGTAGTTTAATAGAAATGTTCTTATCAATTACTTTCATGTGTAAAAGAGTTTTCAGTCATACCTTGGTCGAATATAGAATCCATGCAGGTCGTAAGGTGCAAACAGTCAATACTTTAACCTAGCGAAGCTTAGAGTTTGAACCTGAATAAATTTTCATATACACTTTTCATCTACTCACCTTATTAGTTATGTTTTACATCATTTATTATGAACTGTACCCATCATAATATTCAAAGTAATAAACTGTGTTTCGGATGATTGTTTATTTGAACTCATTGTAGGAGTATAATCCACTAAACTTAAATTGATTTCACCTTAGCGAATAAGATTCGTTCCTATTTTACTAGTTGAATCACTAGTCGTAAAGCATGATTGTCTGTTGGTTTTTGCCCAAAATAATTGATTCTGACAATGGGACAACTTTCGTTTGATATACATCATACGGTTATCAGCGCTATATGATTTCCATCATACTAAAATTGACTTGAACTCAAGGACTTTGATTTACAAATAACTTTATTATAGATAAAAAATGTACAGTTAATGAAAGCTTCTTTCTTATTTGTTTATAAAACACCTAAAACTGTTCTCTCAAAAATAAGAAAGGCGGTCATCGTAAAGGAAACAACACATAAATTTTAAATTACTTGAAAAGCTATTCAATGCAGAAAATAGTCATTAGCGTGTTATAGGATAATCTAAACGAGTTTTGTAGCAAATTGCGAAATTGTGAACTTTATTAGTTTTATCATGGAGCTTAATAGTGAGAATTTTAACTAGGACTTTCACAACCGATAATAAATAAACCATCATTCTCAACTGACTTCAGGATGAAATTAAGGCAGTTCTGGTGAGAAGCTGTGTACATTGGAGTTAGATAGACTTGTATGATATCAAAATGTGATATTCGTGAGTTAGAAATGTGAATCAATAAAATACGACTTAGTGGTTTTAATGTACGGTGATGTTCATGTGAATTAGAGGTCTTGAAATCAAACTGTTGAAGAGTAATGAGCTAACGCTGTTGAGTTCTAAACCAGAAAGTCAATTGTTCAATCATTCTTGCTTCTTATTAGTTGTCCACCGAATAACAACTTGTTGAGTAAAATGATCGCTAATTAGTAAAATTTTATGAAGCATCTTATAACCCTAATTTTACAACGAAAATCAAAACTGCGTTTAAATCAGCTGTATAGTTCTGTACTCTGTATTTTTAAAAAACAAACTATTGGTGTAAAATAATTAAAGCAGACAAATTTTGATAAAAGTGAACACCGGAATCTAGCGATCAACTTTCACAACATAATTATCATTTTAAAGCAAAAACAAATTATAAATTTGAAAATTATAAATAATTACTTCAGGTCTTTTAACCATTTATTGATATAACACATATATCATGGAAGAATTAGTCGTCATTTTGAATTAATATACATACACAAATCTACACATAATTTTCAAAAACTTCCATATTTCTTTTCCAGTTTTTTGTTTCCTTCTGTCATTTGTTGTTTATTATTCACAATGGAATAATGATTTAAGTAAATATTCAATATCCGCTATGAATCCAGCTGCATGGTATTTTGCATTATTTTGGTTATGTATTGTTGCACTTGCCTTATGTGTTATAATAAATTGTGAAAACCAATTATCAGGATAAATAAAAATTTTAAAAGAAACGGAAATAAGTACAATGGAACATCCTCTCTTGCATTAAAACAAATTGCGAACGGATACTTCATTTCACTCATCTTTGTTCACATAATAATAATTTTAATTCTACATATTTGCAGAATACCTACTTCTATAATTTTGTTCTTAGTACCTTAATTACGATTGAATCAGATTTTCATATAAATATTTGTAGCATTATACTCCAGAAGTGTTTTCAAATCTCACTGATTGGTAACGGATTTACAAGTGCAACAGGACAACATTAAACTCGGTTCATAATTTACGAAATAAACTGTGGGTTGGACGGTATGATTGCATAGCCTTCATTATCATTCATGGCCTTGAGAGAAAACGTATTATCACCAGCTCAAACAGCAAAAACCCTATCGATATCTTTTGACATTTAAGATACAAATTTCATGTGAAAATAATATGATAATTAGCACTTGACTACAGTTAAGTGGAATCAATATAGTGTATGATCAGTTATACAACCGTAGTGCAATTTGCAAGTGCTTTTCTGCTAATCATTAGACCAGTGTTCATTATTCACTGAACACGATCTTGAAAATTTACGTTAAAACAGAAGTTTACTCGACTGAACATAAAACTATATTTTTTGATCATTGTACGAAAAACACATAAAAGTAACAAAACATTTCGTCAGCCATATACAGCGTAACACAAAGCACATTGCTCCAAGTTGCCATACCTCATTATCACAACACGATGAACAAATTCAATAAAGTAGTTACTTTATTAGTAGCAAAAAACAGATATTATATAAGGATTTGGTACGGAGAGAAAGAATGACTTCGTATATATATATACAGATATAATCTCATGGTTTAAAGTAAGACAAATAGAGCATACACCGACGACATTGTGATCGGTCCTGAGCCAAGTCTGCAATCATTTGTTACGATAGTCATGCGGACTCCTACCAGTTAGTTTGCACGTATCAAACTGACTAAGACTAGAACTTAGTGACTTCAAGTACTAGTGCCATGTATTGTTTGGGCCGCTTAAAACTTTCTTCCATCCGTCTCCAACACTAGTCAGCATTGCGCGCCGTGATAATTGATGTTCAGACAGACATAACACGTTACCCAATCAACTGAGTCGGTGAAGATTTACAACCTTATCAACTGATTAGCCAACATTCCTGAATTACCTCACAATTACTTATCCGGTGATCTCTGCGGATACCAATAATAATTCTAAGACAGCTGTGATCAAGTACAAGTGATTTACGAGTATATCTCACTTTTAAGCCAAGTTTCGCATCGGTAAAGTAGGACAGAAGAAATTGCTGCACAGTATACTAGTTCGTTAGTTGATAGATGGATATCTCGTCTTTGCCATAGGTGACGTAAGTTGGCAAAAGCCAAGTAAGGCTTTAAAATCCACGTAGAGATTTCGCTTGATAAAAATCCATTTGGAATAATCAGACTTCTAAGATAAATAAAATTGCTTACGCGTCTGACTGTGGTGCACTTAATTTTGTCGTCATTTAAAAGAGCTCTTCACTATTGTGGACCGAGATATGAGTCCAATTTCATCGTATGAATAAATGTTATTGAATTGTATATGTCGCCAATCCTCATATGTCTTTATCGACTTAATCCGCGTTTAGTTAATAACGGGATTAAATAAGTCAAACAACGAGAATGGACTTTTGAATACATGTATTTTGTATATGGAGTGAATGGACGAGAACGAAGCAAAATGACACGCAGTGGAAATGGCGGGTAAGCCGATTCCATTTAGTTAAGCAATAGTCAATATTTACAGGCACACAATAATAGACTGCAGATATAGGTTTTGGGATAAGAAGTGTATACACACCTGCGCGTTCATATTAAAACAGTCAAGATTGATAAGCGAATAGTTAGCAAAGTCAGAATGTGACTGAAATAGAGTGAATAGGTTGAGCTCTCCGAGAGCTAGAATAATGAATATGGGCTTAACATAATAGTTACGACTCCATGACCACTTCACTCTATATTCTTAGTGCAGGTGTTGACACAGACCAGTCATGAAACAACAGCGTGCATATCGAATGGGAAAAAAACTGTTATTGTCGGACGCTGAAAAGCACGCCTGTGTTTTTTTTCACCTGACGAATGGAATATATATCGTTGATGTAGTTCACGCATACTCGTTAGCCGCAATAATTAGAGAGTTTATTTATTTAAAAGTAATAATTATAAAATTAATCTCTTAATATTTATCGCAGGATGATTGCGATTTCCTAATTGTACTTCGGAAAAATCGGTGGTTGCAACCAGTAAAATGGGCTCAAGTCTAACTCCCAGATGTCAGCCTTATTATGAGTAAACATAAACGCTAAAACTGGACAACCGTACATGAAGAATTGAGAAATGGAAATACTTGTTTATCCCCGCGTTCGAGTATTTATACATTAATTTGACAAACTATTTAGTTAAAAACACGAAAAGATGTTGAACCTATGCCACATATTCACAGGAAATCAAAATGAAATTACAGGTAAAAAAGAAAGCAAAATCATGAATAGTTAACGCAAATCAGAAAGTAAACAAGTGAAATATGAGGATAGCCACAAAAGGAAAACGATGTAAAAATTAAAATAAAACACAGCGCCTCAGAAGAGCAGGGGAAAAAAGAGACGCATATAAAAATATCAATAAATATATATGAGAAATAATGACCTACGTAATCCGATGAAGTTCTTCGATTGTATGCTGCCATTGTTATTCGACACTACAATTCATCAGAGTGCTATAGATGGTGGAACACCATGATATAAGGATCCTATCGATCGTACCCGAATTCACAAGCTACATAAAAAGATGGATGGCGTGCATAAGAATAATAACAACTGCACGTTGCATGCTATATCACACTAGTCAAATACATATATCTGCGTCAGAAATTTAATCTTCAATCAAGCATTCCAACTCAATTGCATTGAACTTAAAATGAATCGCACTATCCATTTCGCTACTGAATCCTGAGAGCCAACTGCTTGTGCAATCTGGTGAATTTCTATTCACATGATGTTGTTCGTTTGTATGTTGCCATTGTTATTCTAGACTGCAATTGGTCAGTGTGTTGTAGATGGTGAAATTCCATGATATTAGGATCCTCTCGATATTACCAGAATTCACCAGCTACATAATAAGATGGATGGCGTGTACGAGTTTTATAACATCTTCTCGTTGCATGCTATATCACCCTAGTCATATACATATATCTGCTTCTGAAATTTCATCTTCAATCAAGCATTCCAACTCAATTGCATTGAACTCAAACTGCATCGCACTATCGCTTTCGCTACTGAATCCTGAGAGCCAACTGCTTGTGCAATCTGGTGAATTTCTATTCACATGATGTTGTTCGTTTGTATGTTGTCATTGTTATTCGAGACTGCAATTGATCAGTGATTTGTCGTAGGTTGAATTCCCTGATATTATGATCCTCTCGATATTAAACGAATTCAACAGCAACATAATAAGATGGATGGCGTGCATGAGATGTATAACAGATGCTGGTTGCATAATATATCACATCAGTCAAATACGCATATCTGCCTCTGAAATTTTATGAACAATAACGCATTCCAACTCAATTGCATTGAACTCAAACTGCATCGCACTATCCATTTAGCTACTGAATCCTGAGAGCCAACTGCTTGTGCAATCTGGTGAATTTCTATTCACATGATGTTGTTCGTTTGTATGTTGCCATTGTTATTCGAGACTGCAATTGGTCAGTGTGTTGTAGATGGTGGAAAACCTTGAATTTATGATCCTCTCGATAATACGAGAATTCACCAGCTACATAATAAGATGGATGGCGTGTACGAGTTTTTTAACATCCTCTCGTTGCATGATACATCACCCCAGTCATATACATATATCTGCTTCTGAAATTTCATCTTCAATCAAGCATTCCAACTCAATTGCATTGAACTCAAACTGCATCGCACTATCGCTTTCGCCACTGAATCCTGAGAGCCAACTGCTTGTGCAATCTGGTGAATTTCTATTCACATGATGTTGTTCGTTTGTATGTTGTCATTGTTATTCGAGACTGCAATTGATCAGTGATTTGTCGTAGGTTGAATTCCCTGATATTATGATCCTCTCGATATTAAACGAATTCAACAGCAACATAATAAGTTGGATGGCGTGCATGAGATGTATAACAAATGCTGGTTGCATAATATATCACATCAGTCAAATACGCATATCTGCCTCTGAAATTTTATGAACAATAACGCATTCCAACTCAATTGCATTGAACTCAAACTGCATCGCACTATCCATTTAGCTACTGAATCCTGAGAGCCAACTGCTTGTGCAATCTGGTGAATTTCTATTCACATGATGTTGTTCGTTTGTATGTTGCCATTGTTATTCGAGACTGCAATTGGTCAGTGTGTTGTAGATGGTGGAAAACCTTGAATTTATGATCCTCTCGATAATACGAGAATTCACCAGCTACATAATAAGATGGATGGCGTGTACGAGTTTTTTAACATCCTCTCGTTGCATGATACATCACCCCAGTCATATACATATATCTGCTTCTGAAATTTCATCTTCAATCAAGCATTCCAACTCAATTGCATTGAACTCAAACTGCATCGCACCATCGCTTTCGCTACTGAATCCTGAGAGCCAACTGCTTGTGCAATCTGGTGAATTTCTATTCACATGATGTTGTTCGTTTGTATGTTGTCATTGTTATTCGAGACTGCAATTGATCAGTGATTTGTCGTAGGTTGAATTCCCTGATATTATGATCCTCTCGATATTAAACGAATTCAACAGCAACATAATAAGTTGGATGGCGTGCATGAGATGTATAACAAATGCTGGTTGCATAATATATCACATCAGTCAAATACGCATATCTGCCTCTGAAATTTTATGAACAATAACGCATTCCAACTCAATTGCATTGAACTCAAACTGCATCGCACTATCCATTTAGCTACTGAATCCTGAGAGCCAACTGCTTGTGCAATCTGGTGAATTTCTATTCACATGATGTTGTTCGTTTGTATGTTGCCATTGTTTTTCGAGACTGCAATTGATCAGTGTGTTGTAGATGGTGGAATTCCCTGATATTAGGATCCTCTCGATATTACTCGGATTCACAGGCTTCATAATGTGTGTAACATGGTGTGTAGTATGGAAAAAACATAT